AGACGCGTGACGACCTAGGACCGAGCATCTCCAAAACGGAGCCAAAGTTGTCTGGGGAAGCAAAACCAAGATCCCTTACAACACCTGCGCACCCCTCCAGAATAAACCTCGGGCAGAAAACATGTTGGCTCTGATTCAAATGTTTCTACAGGGTCTACACACAACACGAACTCTATTTATGAGTCTGTGCACAGCAAGGCATGGGGCTGGCCTTCCGGGGAACAGCGCACGGTGCAGACACGCCACCACGGGAAGGTCACCCTCCAGGCAGGCTCAGCGCCTCCTCACGCACTCTCTCGGCTGACCCTGAGAGCAGCCCTGTGAGCTGTCTCAGTCCCTTCAGGCTGCTGTAACAAAAGATCATGGACCGGTGGCTTCTACACGACAGACTTTCATTTCTCACCGTGCTGGACGGTAGAAGTCCAGGATCAAGGCACTGCCAGACTCCATGTCTGGGAAGGGACTGTTCCCCAAAGACCGAGCCTTCTTGCTCTGTCCTCGTGGTGGAACGAGGCTCCCTTGGCCTCTTTGACTAGGGCACTAATCCCATTCTGGAGGGCCCAGTTCTCTACTCCATCCACAGGGGGTTAGGTCTCAACATATGGGGGAGGCCCAAACCTTCAGACCGCAGCACTGTCATTCCTCCCATTTCCCAGAACGGCTGGGACCAGACCAAACGGCCCCAGCCATTTGGTCACACAACAGGATGGCCACCCTCGGGTGTGATCCTCCACTGCGGCTGGCGCCCGGCACCACCCCTGCGGCCGGCGGCCAGGCACCAGCCATGCAGCCTCCGTGGACAGCACGCTTTATTTCTTTTATAAATGGGAAACAGGTGCCTGGAGAGCGCAAGACGCTTGACTCAGGGAGCCAGCCAAGAAAGAGGGAGGCAAGCGAGGCGCCTGCTGCAGGCACGAAATGTAGGGGCACCCAAAACTAAGCAAGCGTGTTTCCATGCAACATTTTATCTTATTATTAGGTTTCTGCCATCGGGTGAGTGTGCTCACCAGAGAGATAGTGAGATATCACAACCTCCCCCGGGGGGATGGCCATGCCACAGTCCCTTCTCCTTCGGTCTCCCCTGGGACTTTGGGCATGCACCCCTATGCACTGGCATGATTTTCAAGACACCAGGTCTGGGTCTCTGTCCACAGTAAGCCATGAGTCCAGTGACTTCGCCACCATGCCACCTGCTGGCCCCCATACAATATTTTTAAAAATCAGAGTAAATACAAAAACTCATGATAGACAAATTGGGGTAGGGACACGAATATTCAGACCACAGTACTCCCATTTCCCGGAATGATAAGCCGAGATTCAGCAAGATTCTGCGACCACGATTTTCAGTAAAGACAGGATGGGAACTGCTGGTTTCCCTCTTGCTCCAGGCTCCAGGCACAGCCCAGGAGCAGAGGGAGCTCAGAAACCAGCTCGGCTCACGCCATCTCCGAAGTGCCAGGACAGAGACCCTGACGGCACCGTACCCAGCTTCTCCACACAGCTTGCTCTTCACAGTTTAGTACCCGAGTACAGGGGATCAGGGTGACCACAGTCCCGCCATCCCAGGCACCTGGTTGCCTGAGCTCCAGGGAGGACACCTGGGGCCAAACAGATTCTCTCCTCCGGTCCTGTGTTTACGTGCCTCGGAGGGAGCCTGGAGCGAGGAGCCGTGGGAAGGCGTGGGGTGGGGTCTGAAAGGCTCACAGCTGCTCAGGTCCCACTCGGATTTCCTGGCTGCAGGGACCCCAGTCCAACTTATAAGGTGGCATTCCTTTTCACTTGGCATTTCAAAAGTCAGACGTTGGCCGGTTTAAGTAATTACTGTACTCTGATCACGTTAACCTCGTGTTAAAAGCCCTGCCTGTTAAGAAGCGTCTTCAACAAACATTTGATTAGAAAATGTGAACGCTTTTTGAAACAACCCAAGAACCTTACGGAAGGCTTGTAATCAAAGCCTAAAACCTGTTAAATAAACCATTACCTGAAGCACAAGGAAGGCGGTGAACCAACGTGTCCACCCCCCATGGCCTTTGGAGACAGTAGGCAGTTACCTCCTACACTCACTCTTTAAACCCAGCAAGACCGTCTGCCTCTCTTTATTTTCTTAGCGCGTTAAACTGCTGGGCTCTTCAAAGTTAAGTCCAGCAAAGTGAGCAAAGGGAAACTTCGGGCAGTTGCCGGAGCGCGTCTGGCTCCTGTCGACCCAGTGGGCCGGGTGCTGGCGCTGTCCGAGGCAGCGGCCGCCACGGTGGCGTCCCTCCCGGGTCCCGAAGGCCTCTGGCTATCCCGGCTCAGTCCTCGCCACTCATCCCCAGCCTGGAGTCAGGGCGTGATTCCCCGCCCGCGCCGCCCCCTGCTCGGGTCCCCACGCACCGCCCGGTCTCGGACCCATGCACGGCGTAGCCACGCGATCTACCTGGCACAGGAGCGCGGCCCCGGCTCCGCGAGATGCGCAGGGGAGGGCACCGTCCTCGGGGTGCGGCGCACAGCGCCAGGGGCTGCTCCCGCCGGGGTGCGCGCCCGGCCCGCGCCCGAAGCGCGGCGACCAGCGGCGCGACG